TTCAAAAAGAAGTCGAAGAAACAAATAGTGAATATTTTAAATTAAACAAGAAATATATTGCTCTAAAAGAGAAATATAAGCCAGCTAACGATTAATTTTTTGTTGTTTTTTTTCTTGTTTTTTTTTTATAAAATAGAATTTTTTTATAAAATTTTATTTTTTTTTATTTTGATTTATAATTTATTAATAAAAATAAATTAAATTTAAGCAATTTCAATATTACAAATGCGTAAATCAAATGAATAACTGTTCTTAAATTTAATATTTGCTAATTTTGCTTCGGGGTAAAGTAATTCGAGTAAATATTCTTTGGTGGTTTCTTCGATGATATTACTAGCCCTATCGAGAACAAATTTATGTCGCTTAAGAAATTCTCGATGTTCTTTATCAAGAAGAGCATTTTGCTTATCACTCAACTTGAGTTGAATATATTCGGTTATGTGACCTTCATCATCAGTAAATATGAACGGTCTTCGATAATTTGTGTTTTCATTCTCTTTGAACCACCAAAATTGTTCCTTTTTACTTAAAACAACATCTTTGTTAGTTGAATCTTGAGTATCTGAATTATTTGGTGATTGAAACATTTTTGAAAACAAAATTACATAAATAAAAATCTAATCGGTTTTGAACTGATTAGATAATAATTAGACAATTTTTCAGGTTCCAGCCTGAAAAATTGTGGTATACCCTCTTTATTCTTAATCTTGGACGATGCTCTGCGCTTTTTCGTTCTTCAGAGAAGAACCAACTTTATTTTTTCATCAGTTGTTTCTTTGATATAACAAACGCCTCGATTTGATGATAAACAATTACAAGCAAGTTGTAATTGTTTCTAATCAATATCTCATTTTTGTCATATCTCAGAAACAAATTTAGTTTAATTTAGTTTCAATAATATTTATTAAAAAAAAAATACATTAATAATAAACTATTTGAGTTCTTTTTTTGTTTCATTCCACATTGATACAACTAATTTAAATGCATCTTTATATTCTAAATCTGGATTATTTTTTTTAACAATAGCTAAATTTGTTTTCATAAACGAATTGTATGGAGATAATTTTTACTCTCGTTCATTTTAATTGTAGCACCTTGTTTAGCTAATTTGTCAGCTAATTTATTTCCGGTTACACCTTTATATCCAAAAACATGTGTAAAATATACCTGACCAGGTCTCTTGGTCAATAAAAAATCGATCTTCTCAAACAAATCTTTGTTTTTAACGTCCTGATTTTTAAGTGTTTTCTATCCATTCCTTTTCCATTTATGAATTCATGTTTCGAGAGAATTAACAACAAAACGACTATCTGATTTAATCTCAATTATTTTAAATTGATCTTTACATGTTTCTAACGCGCGAATTACTGCATACAATTCTGCACGATTATTAGTTTGTAAATCTCCAGGTAAAGATTCAGTGATTTTTTTTCTTCCATCTTCATAATAAACTCCAATACCAGCATATGATCCTTTTTGATTGTCTTTGTGAGAACCATCCGTATAGATAACTATTTTATCGTTAGAATTTAATTTTTCTTTTTTTCTTTTAATTTTTGAGTGGTATCTTTCAAATTCTTCGTTAGCTTCTTCTATTGTTGAAAATTTTTTGTAATACAATGATGAAAAATTGTTCACTTGTTCATCACATTCCTCTAAAGTGTTGTAAACCCCAGGTGTGCGACCAATTAGAACAACATAAAAATATTTTAAAGGCATTCTGAAGAACGAAAAAGCGCGTGAGCATCGTCCAAGATTAAGAATAAAGAGGTAAAGTAAGAGTTAGTATAACAAGCGAAATTAAATTTCAGACATATATACGAGTTGGGATCCTCCTCTTACCTAAATCCTCTTACCTAAATAGGAGAAAATTGTGTAAAGAAAAATCTAATTGGTCTTAGACTGATTAGAAGGTCGTTTATTAGAAAACATAATAAATACGAAATATAATAGTGCGAAACAAAAAAAAAGCTTTTGCAACTCGATCAAACACAAAGATAGGTTTGAACCAATCTCGATTTCAAAACCTAATTTTTTTTTTTTTGTTTCTTAGGAAAACTAGATTTATATATATATTTTAAATCTGAAAATAAATTATGGGATTCAATGAATTACTGAAGGAAAAATCTAATCGGTCAAAAGACTGATTAGAGAAATTTGAAGTACAATCAAACCAAGAAATATAAATATTCCGAAATTTTTCAACCAAAACCAATTCCCTTATCATAGCAATTTCCAATTTGTAAATAAATTAGGAAATAGTTTTTACATTGAATCACAAATGATTGAACTGTGTTCTGAAAGATGAACCAATTCCTTTATCATAGCAATTTCTAATTTTGTGAATCCAAAAGAGCGTTGTAGTCCTGGCATATGAACAAATTTGTGAAATATTTTTCGCAGTGCTTACAAAGATTTACTTTGTACGTCAAATAAAAATCATTACTAGTTGGTTTTGTTAAAGTATCTAAAAGCGATTGACAAGTTGAGGGCGTGTTCTGATAGAAAGTGTAAACGTATTTTTCACAGTATATAAACAAAGAACAAGCTTCACATGTAGTTTTCCCATATGTTAGATATGTTTGGTAATCAACAAATAGTAAAATCTTTCTAAAGTTTAATAACTGATTTAGTTCAACATGTAATTCGTTATCGTTGGGTATATTGTTAAAAAAATGTGATCGTAATTTATGTCTCTGAAAACAGTCATCGATCTTAATGTTGATCCAAATAGTCTTGGAGCAATACCGTACATTCCATTCGTACTTTTTGATAGAGTGGAGACTGATGTGTTTTGGCACAAGATAATACTTGGTCGTATGTATTTTAAAATAATAGTGTTAAAATGAATAAAATGTGCGGCAAACGAACTTTAATCGTCGAAAATTACCATTTTCCAGATTATCGAGCTTGAGTTTGGAAGGAGCTAAGAAAAAAAATATTATGTGTAATATATCGTCAAGTAAAGA